GTCTTGGCTTCGAGATCCCTAATGCCAGTGGTTTAGATATTGTTCTGGAAGACTCCAAAAATATCATTAATTTTGTCCCTTACAAGGAGGACATGGCTTAAAGCATATGTAGGGTAAAGGTGCAGGTCCTAGCAAGAATAGAAGCAGGAAAAAAAGCAAAGGAACAACACAGCCTTTTCTTTCTGGGGTCACTTTAGTTTTCCTCTCTCAGTTCCATCAGCCTAATTAAAAACCCCAATCAACTTATTTTCTTTTAGCTTTTTTATTTTACCCATTCTATTCAAATGTAAAGCACATTTAGCTTCAAATGAAGTTCATTGTGACCTCAGGCAAAGGGAGGAAACCACATGTGGGAGTGCTAGAAATAAACCAAGTGCCTCTCTTTGGGAAGCAACACGTGTCTAACAAGAAAAAGGAACTTGTCTGTTCTGTGAGATCCCTGCTGACTTTTTGTACTCTGACCCCGTGTTTTTAAAATATGTAGAACTTTAATTCTTTAGGGTTCATTTCTAAATGAATACCTTTTTCTCACTAAACTTTTTTTTTTTTTTTTTTTACTGTTTCTATAAATATGTGTGCTCCAGTGTTCCTATTGTTTGTTTTTCTTTTGGCCAGCTGTTCAGGTTAAACTGGGTCATGTAGCACAAACACTTCTAAATTCAATTATAAATCTTCAGGTACCTTCTATGCTTTATTACTTTGACCAGAATATTTTAGTACTTGTAATAGTGCCATGTTAGCATGAATGAAAGTACCTATTACTCATTTTCATTTTTCTCAGATGTCTCAAAAATACTCTTGGTTTCTTTCATGTTAAGTTAGAACATTTGTAAAACCATCAGTATGTTAGAACACTCTGACTTCATTTGGTCAACAAATAATAGGTATTCAGCCTTTATTGTCAAGTCTCATAGGTTGTCTATATGTAAATCTACCTGACCTTTGGTAGATTTGAAAATCCTCTACTGCCCCCTGAATTTTGGATGATTGTCTTCATTGTGACTTCACATCTGAGTTACATTAATGGGATTTACTTCCCTTTTAAGAGTGCTGATCAACAGTTCTATAATGAAATTGGTATTGGTAGTTTTGGAAGGATTAAGGAAGAAGATGGAAGCAATGCAAACATTAAGTAAAGGAATTACACTTTACTCTTTTGGAAGCAAGAGGCTACAGTACCATTCAGATTTGCGTTGATGTGTCAGAGTCAAGGCCAGAGAAAACACACCCATTGAGAGTAGGGTTATGGGGCTGCCATCCCTTCTGCTGTAGAATATATATTTTAATACTTGTTTAGTGGAAAGGTAACAAATTGCTTCTTGAGTCAGAAAGTCTGAGAAAGGGATAAAAACATTACAAGTTGTTATAGCCTTTATAAGAAGTGTGGAAGTTGAGTGCAAAATGAGCCTGTGTAAGATGGTCAGGGCTCCAGGAGTTTGTCCCCAGCTTGACTTCTGTCAAACTGTCTGACAAGGATGTTTTTTCCTCCCCATTGTGAGAATTTCATCCTTAAGACACTGAATGCTTTTATCATTGCATGCTTTTGAAGAGGAAGTTGGATTTTTGCCGAGTTTGGCTGCAAGTGAGGTGGGAGGAAAGGAGGAAAGTGAGCCAAAGTGCAGTTTAACCGTGCATGTTTACCTCACATGTGTTGTGTCAGGATAAGGACAGGGGTGTTGAGAACGATTCCATGCTCCAAGCTACCTTTCTTATTAAATGGTAACTTTTTAAAAGGAGGGAAAAAATAATAATGCAGATGTAAAGCAGCCTATTGATATATCAGGCTGCCAGCATTTAGTTGGCAATTCTACTCTCAGCCTTATTTTGTTAGAACTAGGAAAGTGCCTGAAAGAGGCATAAGATAACTGATTTCTTGGTCGTATGGAAACTTAAGATTATTTAATGAAACTTGGCTCTATTAGTGGATCGTTACATTCATACATTCTTCCAACACACACACACACACACACACACACACACACACACACACACACACACACAGATTTCTCTTTCATAAAGTCCTTCAAAGCTTTCTCATTGCCTTTAGGAGAATGACAGAAGCCCTTACATGACCTGTCAGGGCCCTGCATAGTCTTTCCAACACTGTTTCTTGTCCTCACCTTGCTTTTGTATTCTCCCTTATATTTTCCTCCAACTCTGCTGTCCCTTCTTCCTCACAGAGATCTTTATTAACTCTAGACATGTTCTCATGGCAATTCTTTTTTTTTCCTTTTTTTAACATTTAAAAAAAAGATTTTATTTATTTATTCATAGAGACGGAAAGAGAGAGAGAGAGAGAGAGAGAGAGAGAGAGAGAGAGAGAGAGAGGCAGAGACACAGGCAGAGGGAGAAGCAGGCTCCATGCAGGGAACCTGGCGTGGGACTCGATCCAGGGTCTCCAGGATCACGCCCTGGGCTGCAGGTGGCGCTAAACCGCTGCGCCACCAGGGCTGCCCTCTCATGGCAATTCTTGTTCATACAAAGATCATGTACACATTGTGCATTTGGGCCTATCTGTTCACTGAGAGCAAGGACCACTTTTCTTGCTTCTTTCTGTATCACCAGCAGCAAACAGAATGCATGGCACATAGCTGTACCCATATATTTATTGAGTCTATGAATTGCATCCATTGCATTTTCTATAACCAACTTTCATTTGAACTTCCCCAGGTATCACATTCCCTTTTGGAGTTGCTATAAGGATAGCACAGTTTTTACAAAACTGTAGAAAATATTTACAACCAAAAGAAGAAAAAGATAATGTTAATATATTAAAAAGTCATATAAATCACTAAGGAAAATATTTTAAAACCCTAATAAATAGGGAAAGAATGTGAATCCTAATTCATAAGAGAAAATCTTCTAAAAATGGGTAAAAGAGACATGAGAAAGTTTTTATTTTCATTAGGGATTATATAAATGAAATTCAAAGCAAAATGCTACCTATCAATTTAGCAAAAATTACTTTACACAAGAACAGCATGAGAGGCCTGTTAAATAATCAGTGACTCTAGAGACTGTTGGATTTGAAAGATAGTTTCAGAGCCGCACAAACCTATTTTTAAGTCTTTGATCTTATGCTTAAATGTATAACCTTTTGCAAATTACTTTTTCTCATTTGTGAAATTGGGAACTTACTGAACAGGGATTTTGTTATTTTGTTGTTGTTTGTTTTTGGGGGGGATTTTGTTATTAAATTTGTCTATTCGTTCAGAAATATTTATTGAGTGCCTGCTTTGTGCCAGGCATGTTCTCAGGCACTGAGTATACAGCAGGGAACAGAACACCCCTGTCTAGTAGAACTACCATCCTACTGGTAGAGAGAAAGACAGTAAACAAACATATAAATAAAATGTACAACATGTCTGGATAGTGTTGAGGGCTTATAGAGGAAAATGAAGCAGGGAAGAGATAGCAAGTTTTGTGTCACAGATAGTTTTGTAAATTTAAATCAGGAATTTCTCACTGAGATGGAAATATTTCAGCAAAGACTTCAAAGAAATAAGGGAGTAAGTCATGTAGATGTTTTGGGGAAAGATGTTCTGGGCAGAGAGAATGGAATTAGGGACTGTTGTGCCTTATACGTTTGAGGAAAGCAAGGGAGCCAGTATAATAGGAATAAAGTGAATAAGGGGAGGATATTAGAAGTGAAGGACGTTGTGAGAGCTATGGCAAGCATGTTGGCTTTCACCCTAAGGTTGGAAGCCAATGCAGAAATTTTGATGGGGTGGGGGAGTGACATAAAATGCGTACCTTTTAAATGGACTGTATTGCTGTTGGATTTAAAACAGACTATGATGTGGAAGCAGGGAGACTAATAAAGGAACTTGAATAATTGAGTAAAGATTGATGGTGACTTGATCTAGAGTAGGAACCAAAGGAAGAGTGGAGGCAGAGAAATCTTAACTACACATTTTCAAAGTAGGTAAATGCTGGTCATGAGAGAAAGAGTCAAAGGTGACTTTAAAATTGTGAGTTTGAACAACTGGAAGGATGGAGTTGCCATTCATTAAGCAAGGTAATGTGTAAAGTGCTTAGCCTGCTACTATGTGGCACCTATTAAGTGCTCTATATAGGGTAACTCCCTTCTCCAAAATTTAGAGTAAAAATGAAAGACTTCTTTTATCTGATATGCTTCTGTCCATCTCTACAAATGGAATATTTTATCAGAATAACTAGATAACAAATTATAATTTAGCTGGTACATTGGAGTTCTAGTAAACTGCTTCATCTGTTGGTCAAGATATTTACCCCCCAACAGAAAATAGAATTTGTATTTTTCCTTGGGGCACCTGGTGGCTAAGTGGTTGAGTGTCTGCCTTCAGCTCAGGGCATGATCCTGTAGTCCTGGGATTGAGTCCCACATTGGGCTCCCTGCATGGAGCCTGATTCTCCCTCTGCCTCTGTCTCTGCCTCTCTCTCTCTCTCTCTGTGTCTTCATGAATAAATAAAATCTTAAAAAAAAAAGAACTTGTATTTTTCCATATGACAATAATACAAAAATGGCAAGGGTATCAATAGTAATAAAACTTTTTAAAAATCAAAGAAGAGGGCAGCCCAGGTGTCTCAGCGGTTTAGTACCGCTTCAGCCCAGGGCCTAATCTTGGAGACCCGGGATTGAGTCCCATGTCGGGCTCCCTGCTTCTCCCTCTGCCTGTATCTCTGTGCCCCCCCCCCCCATGTGTGTGTGTCTCATGAATAAATAAATAAAATCTTTAAAAAAAAAAAATCAAGGGACGCCTGGGTGGCTCAGCGGTTGAGCATCTGCCTTTGGCTCTGGGCCTGATCCCAGGGTCTGGGATCGAGTCCCACATCAGGCTCCCTGAGAGGAGCCTGCTTCTCCCCCTGCCTATGTCTCTGCTTCTCTCTCTGTGTCTTTCATGAAGAAATAAAGTCTTAAAAAATAATAATAAAATAAAAAATCAAGGAAGAAACTCTGTTAAAGTTTCATTTTATGGCTAACATATACATGTGACTGTGCCAATTTTTTTCCCTTTCAGGATGCTGCCTTATGGCTGTTTAGCGACAGGTGACCGCTCTGGCCTCATTGAAGTTGTGAGCACCTCTGAAACAATTGCTGACATTCAGCTGAACAGTAGCAATGTGGCTGCCGCAGCAGCCTTCAACAAAGATGCCCTTCTGAACTGGCTTAAAGAATACAATTCTGGGTTAGTTTGTGTGTCATTCTTCTGAACAAGCAGCCGGACAAAACAATGGTTCTTCCAAGTAGAATCATAATTGTCCTAGAGGAAATGTTAATGTTATTTATTGCTTTATTTCAGGTTAGAGCAGAATGAGAAAGTAGGCCTTCCTAAAGTCTCACAGATGGTTAGCATTAAATTCTACTTTATCTAGATCAAATTTAAGAGCCTTACAGTAGTTACAATATAAGATTTTACAAAATTTTTAAATAATTTTTTAAATGTGTCAACTTCTATACTTAGTGAATATATGACCTTAGGTAAGTTTTCAGTAGACTTTTACAATAGCAGTAAATGAGTTTGTAGACTGTGATCTCTCCATATTTAAAAAAAATAAAAAACAGGGCTGGAAACTGTGTTATTAATGGTTATTATGTTGGGAAAGACCTAATCATAGACAATTAAGGAATTTCATAGTGAGGGAAAACACTGCAAGTATTTTGTCTAAAGACTTCAAAGTCAGATTTATATTTCATCATTGGCAAAACCCAAAGGCCTATATGGAGAATTAGTTTTCAAATTTTAATCTTAAGACTTTGTCTTTAAAGGGTCTGTGTTACCAACTTCTAATTTAATTCAGTGACTTAAAGTGTTGGAACTGTAATACTTAACTCTTAAATATGGAATTCTAGTGTTAGGTCAAAACTGATCAAAAAATGTTCTAAAGCCCAGCATCATATCATCTAAGCAAAGCTGAGGGTCTCCTATTATTATACATATGAACCTACTCCCCAACGCCAATGAAGCTCAGTCCCCAGGACACAGCAGTTTGAATGGCTGAGGTCCAGTGATCCAAAGTCTTTGAGTCTTCCTGCAGACTTCTTTCTGCCCTGTTTCTGCACTCATCACCCTCCCTCTCTTGGCTGATCCTGCATGGTCTGCTCATGCGGTTTTGGCAGCTCTGTGTTGCGTTTCTACTCAAAATTAAAAAGGAAACAAGTGTGAATTGGGTCTTACTATCCCATACTTTTGGAGTCTGAAAACCTCTATTCCTTCATTCATTCATTCATTTTTTTTTCTCTCTCTCTCTCTCATTCAGGGATGACTTAGACCGAGCCATTGAAGAGTTTACCTTGTCCTGTGCCGGCTACTGTGTAGCTTCTTATGTCCTTGGGATTGGTGATAGACATAGTGACAACATCATGGTCAAAAAAACTGGCCAGGTGAGCCTCCCCAGAGTCTGCCAAAGGCTTCATGATGCTATTACATACGGTACAATCTCTTGTGTAATTCAGGCAATTCTTTAGTAATTCTTGGAGTCATGTCTTTTTGCTTTCCTTTTGTTTCACACACCATCTGCTTCACATATTCATTGGTTTGTTTGCTTAAAGTTAGGTGATAAATACTTGTTTAATGTCTGAAAAGTTACTGCAGTTACTTAAAATGACCTTTCAATATAAGATATGGCTAAATGGGCGCCTGGGTGGTATAACTGGTTGAATGTCCAACTCTTGTTTTTGGCTCAGGTCATGGTCTCAGGTTGTGGGATGGAGCCCCACTTCAGGCCCTATGCTCAGTGGGGAGTCTGCTTGGGACTCTGTCCCTCTACCCCAGACTCTCTCTCTCTCAAATGAATAAATACATCTTAAAAAAAAAAAAAGATTTGGAGAAGAATTAATAGTAGGGTCCTAGGATACTAAGCCCAAAAAAGCTTTGTCAAGGAAAAATATGGGCAAAAAGGGAAATGTATTGATAGTGTACTGTTGCTACATGGTTTAGCTTTGAAATGTACTTACATGGCCTGAACAGTGTAAACATGGAGTACTAATTTAACCAGAAATTATGATATACTGTGCCTCATTGTATAGCATTACATCAGCACAAAGTACTAAATCTTTACCTTCCATAATTCAAAACTAGGAAGTAAAAAATAAGTATAAATATACCATTTAAAAAATGGAGGAAAAACCCATTAAAGAGTGGCCAGAAGTTACCTCTAAGTACTAGCACTCAGGGTGTTGAGGGGGCTATTGGGCAAGTACTTAGAAATATTAACCAAAATAGTTTGATATGTAGAACTATTTGGCTTTTTAAAAATCAGACATGTTGGGATCCCTGGATGGCTCAGCGGTTTAGCACCCGCCTTTGGCCCAGGGTGTGATCCTGGAGTCCCGGGATCGAGTCCCACTTCAGGCTTCCAGCATGGAGCCTGCTTCTCCCTCCTCCTGTCTCTGTGTCTGTGTCTCTCTCTCTCTCTCTCTCTCTCTCTCTCTCTCACACATAAATAAATAAATCTTTAAAAAAATTTTAAAAATCAGACATGTTTATTATTTGGATGTATTTTTCTTTTTCTTTTTAAAAACTTTTCCTTTTTGGGATCCCTGGGTGACTCAGCGGTTTAGCGCCTGCCTTTGGCCCAGGGCATAATCCTGGAGTCCCGGGATCGAGTCCCACGTCAGGCTCCCTGCATGGAGCCTGTTTCTCCCTCTGTCTGTGTCTCTGCCTCTCTCTGTGTGTGTCTTTCATGAATAAATAAATAAAATCTTTAAAAAAAAGGAAAATAATTTAAAAAAAAATAAAAAACTTTTCCTTTTTAAAGATTTGTCTTTTGCACTAGGTAAATGCAGTTTAATATCAGGCCTGGGTTATTAGTGCGTATAAAAGATCTATGAGTATTAGAAACAGTCTTCCCAAGTGACCCAATAGCCTCTGAAAACTGAGAAGGGCTTATGAGAGTTTTGTAATAATATAATTACCAAATCACTCTGTTATACACATAGTAGCAACTGTACCATCAATACAGAGTGAGGCAAGGGCTCAGCTGAAGATCAGTGAAGTGTTGCAGGTCTAGGACTGCTGAGATCTTGCCTTTCTGTTTGGAACCAGAGAAACAAGAGAAATCAAGTCCCATTTGTTTTCCAGCTCTTCCACATTGACTTTGGACATATTCTTGGAAATTTCAAGTCTAAATTTGGCATTAAAAGGGAACGGGTGCCTTTTATTCTTACCTATGATTTCATTCATGTGATTCAACAAGGAAAAACAGGAAACACAGAAAAGTTTGGCCGGTAAGTATTGACCTCATGTCAAGAATAAACGTATCTGACATTTTCTCATCTGACTAGTTGGACTAGAATTTCTTAGCTGAGGTATATTTAGATCAGGAAAACATTTAATCTGCTAACTGGAGGCTTTTGGGGAATTCGCCTGTCACATCCATGTTTTGGTTCAGAGAGGAGAAACATTCTTGAAATTTGAAATAAGTTTCTGTGTTTTATTCCAATAGTATACCACTCTTTGTCTTAGAAAATTCTCTGAAACTGTTAGACATTTCATTATGAGATGCTAAGAGGGACAGGCTGTTTGCTCTCATTCTAAGGGACCCAGTGTTCAGAATTTTGTAATTTCTGATCCGGTCCTCACTACTTGTATGTTTCCAAGCACATTACTTATCTTCTTTGTTTCTTCATCTTAAAATAGTGACAAAAATAATTAAATTTTAGGGCTATTATGGGGTGCCTGGTGGCTCATTTGGTTAAGCGCCCAACTCTTGATTTTGGCCCAAGTCATTATCTCAGGTTTGTGAAATCGAGTCCATGTTGGAGCTCCGAGCTCAGTGGGGAGTCTGCTTCTCTCCCACTCCCTCTCCCCCTCCTCAAACTTGCTCTCACTCTCTCTCAAATAAATAAATGAATCTTAAAAAAATTTTTTTAGGGCTATTATGATAATTAGAATTAAGTTATATGATGTGACCAACTCATACTGTGTTCACCAAACGATTGTAATTATCATTTCTAGATGTGTCTGAGTTTGTGCAGAATATATCTCTGGGTGTTCATTTCTCTTTTTTAGCAAAATTAGGGAGATAGCATCAGATGGTCCTCTTGAATAATTATCTTTAAGAGGAGAGAGAGGGAAGGCAAGATGATATGGAGGTGCAGTACGAAAGCATCCATACTTGGGACGAAATCAAAGAAATTAATCTCTGGAGTTTGACTATAAATCTAGAATCTAGAAACATTGTTCACAAATCCTCATGGATTATAAATTACCACTTGTTTTATAACTAGTTTTTGGGTCTCATAGAATTAAAAAGCACAGGTGTTACATATTACATAGCCTTTTATAAGAACTTTAGTTGTAGGGATCCCTGGGTGGCGCAGCGGTTTGGCACCTGCCTTTGGCCCAGGGCGCGATCCTGGAAACCCGGGATCGAATCCCATATCGGGCTCCCGGTGCATGAAGCCTGCTTATCCCTCTGCCTATGTCTCTGCCTCTCTCTCTCTCTCTCTGTGACTATCATAAATAAATAAATTAAAAAAAATTAAAAAAAAAAAAAGAACTTTAGTTGTATTTTTAAAAAGATATGTGTGATTTTAGACAGCCAGATCTGTTCTATGTAAATTTTAGTCTTGGAACAATTTTCAAAGTGCTTTAAAAATCAGAATTAAACCTTCAGTTCTGTAGAAAATTTCCAGCTCTTACAGAAAATCTAGATACGTCTCTTGTTTTCCTTTACGACATTTGCTCGCTTCTCTAACATCATGTTCTTGTGATTTGTTGTGTCAACTGAAGCTTCCGCCAGTGTTGTGAGGATGCATATCTGATATTACGACGGCACGGGAATCTCTTCATCACCCTTTTTGCACTGATGTTGACTGCAGGGCTTCCTGAGCTCACATCAGTCAAGGATATACAGTATCTTAAGGTAAAAACTCCTTTTCTTTGTATATTGGACTTTGGAGGCATGAAGCTCAGCTGTACTTGCCTATTTCATTCAAATGTTCAAAGGGAATGGAACAGAGCGATTTCCTGTGAGACTGTACTATCTAGGAGTGGTAGTGACAAGCAACTGAGTAATTGTCTTGCAGTCATCATAAATTTCATCTTCAAAAACCCTGTGGCAGGAACTATATTATCACCCTACCTTAGTTGTCATTCTCCATGCTGCAGAAGACATTTATTTTTATTTTTTTTTTAATTTTTTTTTTTATTTATGATAGTCACAGAGACAGAGAGGCAGAGACACAGGCAGAGGGAGAAGCAGGCTCCATGCATCAGGAGCCTGATGTGGGATTCGATCCCGGGTCTCCAGGATCGCGCCCTGGGCCAAAGGCAGGCACCAAACCGCTGCGCCACCCAGGGATCCCCTGCAGAAGACATTTAAATAAGAACATTAGGCACACAGTTTAATGATGGCTGGGGAGGTATGGCTGAGATTTTGACATTTGCATGTCACTATGGAGGATATATAAAATCAGATTTTTTTCTCTTTCATTTTTAGGACTCTCTTGCCTTAGGGAAGAGTGAAGAAGAAGCACTCAAGCAATTTAAGCAAAAATTTGATGAGGCACTCAGGGAAAGCTGGACTACTAAAGTGAACTGGATGGCGCACACAGTTCGGAAAGACTACAGATCTTAATGATCAGCCTTTGCTCCTAATGTATTTGTTGGTTTGTTTAGTTTTCATTTTGCACTTGCACTAAATTGAACATGACCCTGCCAGAGATGTTATAAAGGGAATGAAATCCTGGAACTTAGTTAAATTAAGAACAAGGCATCCCACACATCCTAATCTGAACAATCCCTGATGACCACCCTCTGCTTTATTGAATGCTTCCAAGATTCATCATGAAAACTCCCACCATTATGGATAATCATTTCCTGCTGACTTTGCACGCCGAAGAATGCTACTAGAGATTGTTTTCTGTCTTATTCTTTTTTGAAGTGTTTGGTACTTTTCCAGAAAGGTGTAAATACTTCTTTTTGTATTGTGACCAAGTGTTATCACTCAACCAACTTATCCACACCTGGGGACTGGTAGTTGTTCTTACTTTCCAAATGAGGCTTAAAAGAAAGGCATCTTTCTTCCCTTTTTAAATTATATAAACTACAAATTATAACATAATTTGAAATTATTATTATTTTTCAAAAGAAATCTTTAAACTTGTGGAAAGATTAATTCTTTTGTTGATATTTATCTACCATGACAGCATCATTCCTATCAGACTTGGTGAAAATCTGCTCGTGAGGCAAATATTATATATATGCTGCATATATATTTATAAAATTTCAAGTGGGGAGTTCTATATAAAAAGACATTTCTCTTTTTTTTCCTGTCGTGTTTTAAAGTTTTAAAAAAGCAGAGCTTTTTCCTAAGTTTTTAGTTAACTATGAGATCCAGTTCTTCCAGTTGCTTCTGTAATGAGGCACATAGTAATTTCAGTTTTTACATGGTATCTATGAAACAGTTCACTTCATAGAGCATAATACTTGAGCAAATGCATCCAAGACAGAAAGCAAGTGAAAGGAAACTGTTTATGGAATCATCTCCAGACCTAAAATTCAGTATTTTAGTAAAATGCCAGCTGTTCTTACTGTATTTATTAAAACTTATAATAATGTGATTTTTCAAGGATATTAGTTCAAATTGAAATGGTTATATGCCACATGGAATTCTTTAATTTATTTGTTGAGGTACCATACACTTAGGGTGCTAGATGGCAAATAATGTTAATATGTGCAATAAGAACTACTGGTTTGAATGTGTAAATGGATGCTCTTTCTGAGTACTGGCAATATCCAGCAAAACTACTGCTTTTTCTCCAAAGATTTTTGGGAACTCTCAATCCTCGGTGACATGAGAGAGAGAACTGAGAACCCTGTGACTGAGTTTTCTATAGGAATTTTATTAAAGATTGTTTAATTTTGTTGTTCTCCTTCATGTTCACAGTCAAATAAATGGGTGAGCTGGTTTCAGCTGCTCTTGGGACGTGTGGGCTGCTTCTTTATGGACAGCACAGGCCTTTAGATCTTGGCACTGGGACTCTAGGAAAAGTCAGTAAACAAATTAATTTGAGAAGTAGGCTGAGGCTCATGGTCTATTCTCTGACTTCTCTCTGCTTCCTAGCCCCAGCAGGAAGTGTGGGAGGCCTCTTGGACTTTTCATAGGAGCCTGAAGCTCATCAAATTTTCATCTTTGTACCCTGAGGTGGAGGAGAATGCCCATTTAGTGACTAAGTATTGAGCCAGACTAGCCACTTTGTGGCCCTCTTCCATGGAGCAGATATTCAGAACAAGTCATAGTTTCTTAGAAATAAGTTTTAGGTAAGGATAGAGATTGACCTCTGAACTGACCATTCCCAGGGCTGGTCCAGACTCAGTGAGAATTCCAGGAATAGGATTGTGAAAGGATAGGTTTGTTAAGGATCTTTATCTGGTAGTGATCTACTTTCACATGCACTAGCTCTCACAGGCCAGGGGGCTTGGAGACTGGCAAACTTTGTCAGCTGGAAGTGGGTACCAGTGTTTCTAGAGGAGTCTCCTCAGTCCATAGGGAGCCTTGGTAAATATATGTAAAAATATGCCAAATCAATAAATGTGAGGTCAGGAGTAAGAAAGGAAAGGCTTAAGCCCAGGATGGCTCTGGACTCCTCTCCACCCTCTCTGCCATAAGCCCCTCAAAGATAGCCAGGACAATGTGACATAGTAGCCCTCTGTAGCTGTTAACCGCTCCTAACAGGTGCTCCCCACATACTTCCTGAATTGCACATTTCTGATTCTCTTCTCAGCAAGAGAAGAGGAGGTAGCAGGCAGAGGACAGCTAACTTTAGAGGTCTGGGCTCCAGGATGAGCTTGTTGCAGGGGAACTGGTTATCCAGTACCTTGGCTCTTAAGTGCTCTGGTCAGCAATAAACCTTAGCCCAAAACACTTCTAGTTTGTAAAATGGGACTAGTAAAATAACTACCCTAGTCACTTCTATGTGGTGGTGAGAGGCTAGGTTACAACCATGAATGGGGGACATAGGCCGAGTCCCAATTCAGAGGCAAACATTTCTCTCCCTGCTTCTTCCACTTGAAGACCACTAAAGGGAGGAATCTTCGGGAAGGAAAGCCCCTTCCAGAGCTCTCCCCCTACCTCCTATCTGAGGAGGCCCCTCCAGTATCTTCTCAGTTCTACCTTGCAGCCCATAGCCCTATTAGCACCAGAACAGTCAGGCAGCCTGTAATGCAGAGGTCACTTGTCTGCAGGAGCTAAAAGACTGGTCCATGGGGTGGAGAGCAGAGAGGGACCATGCCACAGAACCCTGACTGTTGGGAATGGGCAGCTTTTAAAAAGGAGGGGGTAAGGGTTGAGGTTTCTTGAAGCAGAGGGCCCTGAGCTGAGTCTTCAAGGATAGAATTTAGGTGAAGGGGTGATAAGTAAGACTGAGCAGGAAGGTACAGCATGTTATAATAAAGGCTGGGAGGGGAGGAAAAACGGGATTCATGGGCACTAACAGGCTCAACAGTTGTTTCTTTGCCTCTGCCTCTTCCCCTCCTCCACTCCAGAGTGCTGCACTTCTCAGGGATCCAGACAGTAAACCTCAGTCATATCACGCTGGAGCCTCTTCCTCTTTCACTATCTGTGGCAGTTTTATCCCCTTCTCTGATGATGGAAAACGTGTCTGACATCACCTTCTAGGTTATTCCTGCTCTAAAATGTATAACTAAGGGGTTTTTGGAACTCAGGATTCCTTTCCACTTTTAGTAAAGCCCAGGTTCAACACTCAGAAAAGTCTGCCCTTTCAAACTCCCAACGTTTCTTTTTTATTGTGAGAAATGGCACATAGAGTAATGTATACAAAACGATAAGGCATATAAATTTAAGGCTTAGCAAATATTATAGAACAGACACCCAGATAACCATTGCATAGGTCGAGAAAGGACATTGCCAACACTTAAGAAGCCATGCCAGCTCCCCTTCCTGGTCAGGACTTACTTCTCTCTGCCAAGGTAATCACCACCTCTTCTTCGTTGGCAATCATCTCATTTCCTTACTTTACAGTTATGCTGCCTCCTTTTTTGGGTCAGGCTTCTTTTGCTCTACATTATGTCTTTAAGATTCAGCCATGAGGTAGCATATTTTTTATCATCGCCTCATAATATTCCATCTTAGTGGATATCCTATAATTTATACATCTTTTCTACTGTTGGGACACATACAGGTAGTTACTAGTTTGAGGCTATTACAAATAAATAATGCTGCTATGATGATTATAATTTATCTGCTGATTCACAGATGTATATATTTCTTTGGATGTATATACTTAAGATTAAAATAGTTGGTCATAGGATTGTGCATATCTTTATTTTGACTAAGTAATGCTAAAATAAGTGGTTGTGCCAACTTGCTCTTCCTGCAGTACTTAATTCTTGTCACTCCATATTCTCACCAGTACCCAGTTATCCAGCATTTAAAAAATTTTAGCTATTCTGATGTGTGAGGTGAAAAAAATTTGCATTCTTTGCTTAGTAATGAGATTAAATTGCTCTTTCATATTTTTGTTCATTTTAGTTTCCTCCTTTGTGAAATGCCTGCTTAAATCCTTTGTCCATTTATTTATTTGGATACCTGCTGTTTGTTTGTTTGTGTTGTTTTTTTTTTTTCCTTCTGAGGAGTATTTTGTTTTTAGTAATTGCCTTTTGGTTTTTGTTAGGTGAAATTCTGTATGTATTTGTGTACAAGCCTTTTGTCAGTTACATGTTGAAAATATCTCTTCCACTCAGTGTTTGTGACTTTCTTATTCTATTAATGTTTCTTCTCATAACACACAATCTTAATTTTAATGTAAAATTTGTCATTATTTTCCTTTATGGTTAATATACATTGTGTAGTATTTAAGATATTTTTTTCTTGCCCTAATGTCATGAAGATACTCTCCTGGATTATACTCTAAAAGCTTTAAAAAAAAAAAAAACAAGTATTCCATTTAGATCTATAATGTACCTGGAATTGCTTTTTATAAATATTGGGAAGTGCTTTTTCCTAAATGGACACCAAGTTGTCCTAGTATCTTTTATTGGGAGCCTTTCCCCACTGTTCTATAAATCCACCTTTGTCACAAACCAAGTGTCCCTATATGCAGGAGTCTGCCTCTGGACTCTAGAAGATAGCCAGTAGATTTCACCTCCCTATTTCTGTATTTTAAGCGTATTTATCAAATTCATACAGAACAGTTAATGTGTAATAGGCATGCATCTAAACTGTAGATATTGAATGCATACCAATCTTACATAAAGGTAGGTGCAAGTGACCTTCCCCACATTACGGATGAGAAACCAGGCTTAGAAGTTCAAGTAATTTGTCCATAGTCACAAAGTAAAAGCCAGCATTCAGACTCAGGGAATCTGTCTTAAGTGTTCATGTTCTTTCCTCACAATTATCAACAATGCCTCGATACACATTTCAGAATCTGCTTATTGAGTTCCACCAAAAGAAACCTGTGGAAATTTTGAGTGAAATTGCGTTTATAGATTAGGTTGAAGTAAATTCATATCTTAAGAATATTGACAATTCCAGTCTATGACAATGGAATATCCTTTATTTAGATCCTCTTTATGTGCACAATGATTTGTAGTTTTCTATGTAGAATCTTTGTATATCTTTTGTTAGATTTCTGGATAAGTGATTTTAAGCTTCATTGTTGGTAAGCTATAGCAGTGGTTTTCCAAGTATGGTCCCCTGAGTAGGAATATTAGCATCTCTTGGGAACTACTTAGAACTACAAATTCTTAAAGAACTCCCCTCCCCTCTGCAAGACCTACTGAATCAACCACTAGAGATGGAATCCAGCAACCTTTATTTTAATAAACTTTTTACCAAGCTTCAGAGCAATTGATAGAAATAGAGTTGATGTTTGTGTTTAGCAGATACACTAAATTCTTATCACTCCTATTATAGAACTTATTTTGATTCTGCATATATGATCCACAAATAGAGTTTTATTTCTTCCCTTCCATTACTTTCAACATTTTATTTCTTTTTTTTTTTTTTTTGACCTTCTGTCCTGTTTAGGAATTGCAACAAAATGTTGAATAGAAGAATACTAAATCTTTTACTGATGTCAAAGGGAAAGTTTTTGATATTAACTATGGTATATGTTCTGGAATCTGGAGGTTTTTTTACCAGATTAAGGAAGCATGTTTCAATTCTCAAGGGATTTTTTTATATATATAATCATGAAAGGATGCTGAGTTTTTCAAATTATTTTTCTGCATTTTACTAAGATGTTTCTCATTCGGGAAGTTCTGTCAATTGATGTTCAAACTTTAAACCAAAGTTTACATTCCTGAAATGAGCCCAACTTGATTGTGATGTATTTTAATATATTGCAAGACTTGACTTGCCAATATTTCATTTGGGATTTTTGCATCTATTCTTATCAATGGAACTGGCCCATAAGTTCCTTGAAAGAAACAGATCAGGATTTGTTACCAAGATTTTGTGGCCTTATAACACAGGTAAGATTGGCATTATTTCTTACTTTAAAATCTGATAGAATTTTGCCAGTGACATGATATCGATATTCCTTTGAGGTATGGATTTCATTAATAGCTAGAGGAATATTCAGATATTTTTATCTTATTGTGTCCATTTTAAAGAGTTGTAATTTCTAGGAATGTGTCTATTCTAGGTTTTAAATTTTATTTATATAAGGTAACTGATATGTTGCAGGGTTTAGATAGATGTCCTCTTTTCATTTTTGTTATTGGGCTAGTGCCTTCTGTTTCTTAGTCTCACTAGAGGTTTTTCAATTTTATTAATCTTTACAAAGAATTAACTTTTTGATTCCTAAAATTCTCTGTTTGTTTTCTACATTCCTTTCATCCCTCTTATTTCCTTCCTTCTACTTCATCTGGTCTTACTTTCCCTTCTCCAGTTTAGTAAGATGGTTAGTTAGCTGATCGATTTTAGCCTTTATAATAACAATCTTTATCTGCATCCCATAAATTTTGAGATGAAGTCTTTTCATCACCATTCAGTAAAATGTATGTTCTGATCTCCATTTTTCTTTCTGTGTGACTTAATGATTATTTAGAAATACATTTATTTCCAAATACATGTGGATTTTCTCATTACCACTTTGTTGATTTTTAGATTGATTGCATGGCATTCAGAGAACATATCTGTCATTTCAATTGTTCAAATTTGTGAGGCTTGCTTTTATGACTCACAATATGGTCAATTTGTTCAGTATGCATGAGAAAAAATCCATATACTGCAGTTATTAAGTGTCCTACATACATTCATTAGATCAATTCTGTTGTTTACATTTATATATATATTGAGTATTTATGAGATAAGTTAGAATATCCCACTATGATTTTGAATTTGCATATTCTGGTTATATCAGTTTTTATAATTTGAGGCAATATTAGTTGCTTATAAATTCAGAGTTGATTTGTATCCCTGGTGAATTGAACCATTTAAAACAAATTTTTAAAGTGTCCTCTGTGTTTCTGGCAATGCTTTTTGCTTTGATGTGTGCCAGCTTTCATTTGGCTAGTGGTTGCATGGTGTGCTTTTTTCTTTAAACCTTTTATAAACCTTATAAATGTCTCTCTTGTAAATAGCATGTAGTTTTTGTTTTGTTTTTTTTTAAATCCATTTAACCCTCCTTACCTGTTAATTTAAACATTCACATTTACATTTAATGTAATTGCCAATATATTTGGGGTTAAGTAAACCATCTTACTATGTAGTTTTATTTTTTTCTGGCTTTGTGTGTGTGTGTGTGTGTGCGTGTGCTCCTTTTTCCATGATTTTCTTTCTAGTTTTAGAAAGAAACTAAATAGTTAGAAAATATATTTTCTAGAAATATTTAGTTTTCTATTAATTTGGAAATTACACTTTTACCATTCTTTTATTGATACACTAGGTTACAGTTCACATACTAGACTTATCCTTGTCTAATGTTACTTGGTACTTTTATCATTTTCCCAGACAGTGCAAGTAAATCTTCACTTCTCTCCCAACCCATATGCATTTGTTGTTGGATTTTAATTATAGATAATTATTAACTCCAACAAGAAAGTATTGTTTTATACAACCGCTATGCATTTAGCCATAAAGATGGTCCCTGACTTAATGATGGTTTGATTTAAAATTTTTCAACCTTATGACAATGTGAAATCAATACCAATCAGTAGAAACTATACTTTGTGTTTTGAGTTTTGCTCTTTTCCTGGGCTACTGATACTGTAGTGTGATACACTTGTGTGTTCCTGGCAGTAGCAGCAAGCCACGGCTCCCATTCAGGCATGTCATCATGGGGTAAACAATTAGAAAGCTTACAAACATTCTGTCACTTTCAGGACAGTACTGAATAAATTACATGAGATATTCAACACTTTATTATAAAATAGGCTTTGTGTTAGAAGTTTTTGCCCAGCTATAGGTTAATATAAGTGTTCTCAGCATGTTGAAGGCAGGCTAAGCTATGATGTTTAGTCGGTTTTAAATGCATTTTTGACTTACAATATTTCCAAATTACAGTGAGTTTATTGGGACATAACCCCATCATAAGGAAGATCTGTATATACATTTTTACCATTATCATTGCTTTTCATCCTTTTTATCACATTTTCAAGTTTTCATTGGGGATCTTTTTTTTTTCTTAGACCAAAGAAAAAAGCCTTAGTATTTCTTTTAGTTGTTCTACTCTTGATTAATTTCATCAAACCTTTTGTTTGCCTGATAATAAATGGTAGTTTTGCTGGGTATAAAAATTTAGATTGGTAGTTATTTCTTTTTAGCATGTTGAAGGGATTTTTTTTTTCCGAAAAATCCATTCTTTTCTACTGAAAAGTTAACATTTTAGTATGTATTTTTTCTACTAACTGCTTTTTAAAAGTTTTTCTGTTTGTCTTTTAGCAGTTTTACTATGATATGCCTGGGGTGTTTTATTTTGTCTTTAGTTTTTTGTATTCTCCCTGTTTAGTGTCTGCAGAACCTCTTGAGTCTATAGCTTACTATCTTTCACCATTTAGAAAATTATCTTCCGATCTATTTCTGCATAATTCTTCTTTTGGAACTCCATTTATACTTATTTGACCTTTAATTGCTAATTGAGCAGTCTCTATAATTTTCCCCTCTATAATCTCTTTGTATTTTTCTTTTTTTTTTAAATTTTTTTTATTTATTTATGATAGTCACAGAGAGAGAGAGAGAGAGGCAGAGACACAGGCAGAGGGAGAAGCAGGCTCCATGCACCGGGAGCCCGATGTGGGATTCGATCCCGGGTCTCCAGGATCGCGCCCTGGGCCAAAGGCAGGCGCCAAACCGCTGCGCCACCCAGGGATCCCTCTTTGTATTTTTCTTCTAGATATTTCCTTGTTTTCCAGTTTAGTATTCTGATATTGAGTTATTAATTTCATTGTGTATTTTTCAATTTTACAAATTTGGTTCAGTTCTTTTTAAATTATTCTTTTTATCCCTAGCTCCCTTTGAAATTCCCAGAGTTGTCTTTATTGTCTTGAACATTTTAAACATAGTTATGTCAAGCTGTACATCTAGTGAACTCTTAAACTGCAACTGCAGCTCCTGTGGGTGTGTTTCTATTGCTTCATTAATTTTGCTAACACCAGTTCATGTTGTCATGTCTCATTTGCTTGTATATTTATTTATGCTGCATACTCACATCAAAGGTAACTCTGATTTCAAAAACAAATCACTCTATTATTTCTTAAGTGATGCTCTTGGGGTCTCAACTCAAAATGTGGGAATTTTGCTAGAGTTTGCCAGCATTGGCTTTTGTCAACCCCAGGTTGTGTCTCCCTAGCCATGCTAAGCTATCAAAAATGCTGTTTAATCTTATTACCTCTTGTAGAATCAGTAAACATTCCGAGGGTTAGGTGGTTTCAAATGCCTGGCTCACAAGTTTGAGTTTGTCTTCTGTTACATCTTGGCATAGAAATTCATCATTGCCTTTTCAGCTTTTTGGTGCCTTTAAGAAGTTATATTTTATATTTTTATTGATTTTTTTTTTTTTAGTTGTCAGTAGCAAGAGAACTGTCAGCATTCCTTTTTCCACCTTTACTCTTAACCTTACTAACTCTCCACCCACTTTAATATGCCTTCTGCTTCAGTTCATTCAGATCGATTTTGTCAATTTTGTCACCAGCTTGGTGGATATTGCCAAATCTAATGGACACTTTCCAGTTCTTACGCTTCTCATTTAAGCACCAATATGACATAGTTAACTATTGATGTTTTGTGATATTTTCTACAGCTAAGGATTGTCTACCATCTCAAAACACTCATTCTGTTTTTACACTTTCTCCTTTATCTTTTTTCTTTGTATATTTCTTTTTAAAAATTTTACATAAATGCAAAAATGTGGTAACAAATGCCCAGTTTTTAAAAGTGAATTCTTAATTTCTTTTAAATTTTCTTTGGTTACCCATTCCCTAGCATCATCATTATCCACCTCACCCCCAACTCATGCTACCTGTTTGTAACCTTCCATATTTCTCTCCATGCTTGCATAAATTGTGTATAGAAAAAATATTTAAAGACCTACACACACACATTATATATGGGGTCTTTTTATTTTTTAAACACAACTGCAGTATGTTATAGCTATTTTTCTGCAACTTGCTTTTCTTTCACTCAAATACCTTATGGAAATTTCTGCAGTTCATTCGGAATGAATGGATTGTCGTTTATGGTGTATTATAATTTATTCAATCATTTCTGTAGATGGGCATTCACAATTTCCAGTTTCTTTTTTCCCCACTATGAACAATGCTGCAATAAACATCCTTGTGTATATATTCTTATTATATATTGTTATTGATGGCTTCTCTTCCCAAGAGAAGGGGGTATGCATGTGCACACTGTGTTTTTAAAAAACTTTACACTTTAAAATCTTTATTGAAATTTAACATTCATATTGAACATAGCATACAGACAAAAAGGTAAAAATTATTTAGTAAATAGCTTCATTCATTTTCAGGAAGTAAATACATCTTTGTGACTAGCACCCATATCAAATAGAAAATTACTGTCTCTTCAGAAATTCGTCTCATGCTCCTCGTTACTAACTTCCCCCTAAAGTGAGCATTATGGGGACTTCTAAAATTACATATTAGTTTTTGCCTGTTTTTGAACTTTATGTAAATGGAATTTTTGAATTTAACAAATGTCAGATTGTTTTCCTAAGAACTTAAAATATTTCTTTTAAACCTCAAAGTGTAAAAGGGGTACGCTTCTACATCTCAGACAGTAATATATCATTGTTCTTTTTTTTTTTTGCTGTTTTCATTGTTAAAATAATTTTCCTAAATACAAATTAATTTGAGCATTTAAAAAATATAATTGCTGGCTACTTGATTTCATTTTCCATAGCCTATTCATATCCATTCCATTTTACAATTAGCCTGACTCTTCTTGCCAATTTTTAAGAGCTCTTTATATTTTATATATATCTTGACCCTTGTCATTTACATTACAAGTTTTCCCAAATCTAGTTTATTAGCTTTGTTTATGGTATTTTTTACCATATAATTTTTAAATAGATATGTCTATCTTTTGTTTTATAGCTTTAGGATTTTCTTAATTAAGGTCTTCTTGCCCTAGGCCACTCTCAGATACTATAGCTCTTCAGTAGGCTCCGCTCCCCACCCCCCCTTTTTTTTTTGTCTACAAACTCCCTAGTTGATGTCATCCATTCCCATTGCTTTAAATCTCCCCTAAATGCTAATGATTTCTGCATATATAGCCCCAGCCCAGATCCTTGAGCTGCAGTGATGCTCAAATCTGTCTACTGTCAGTGAGGGGTGTAAGTCCTAGGGGATACAACAGTATGTGAACCCTGCCCTCCAAGCTTGTTAGAGAAAGTAGATACTGTGTTAATATAGAAGGATAATGAGGACACTTGCTGATCTCTTGCACATTTTGTATTACTATAAGGGAAAGGCTACAGCCAAAAGATAAGTTCCGGAATATATGTAAAACTACAACAAATCTATTAGAAAATGTGAACTCAATAGAAAAATAGGTAATGACTAATAAACATGTAGAACAACCAACTTCACTAGTCATCAGAGAATGTAAAATGAGATATTTTTTTCAGGGTACCTGGCTGGCTCGGTCAGAAAAGCATCAAACTCTTGATCTTGGGGTTTGAGCCCCACTTTGGGTGTAGAGATTACTTAAATTAGTAAATAAAAACTTAAAAAATAATAAACATAAAATGAGATACCATTTTTGAAGAAAAACATTGGATTGACAAAATTTTTAAATCCTGACTACCTCAAGTGTTGAAAATATAAGGAAAAGAACTTCTACTGCTGATCAAAATTTTATAATGGTACAGCAAACTTTGAAAGCAATTTGGCAAATACTGAAGATATATTTACCCTTTGATTTAGCAATTCCACTTCTGAGTATCCTTAGGACAGTGCTTCTTAATCTTTGATGCACATATAAATCACCATGGGGCCTTGTTAAAATACAGACTCTGATTCAGTAGGCCTGGGGAAGGACCGGAGAGTCTTACTTCCTAACAAGTTTCTAGGTGATGTCATTGCTGCTAGTCCAGAGACACACTTTAAACAGCAAGGCCCAAGAGAAACTGACTCATATCCTCAAGGGACATAAAGATGTTCATTAGAGCACTGATGGTATTAATGAGCTTCTGAAAACTAAGGTGAGTGGATGGTTACGTAAATTTTTATGGTTGAAAGCAAGAGTTAAAAGGAACTGGAGTTACATATGCCAACCTAGATAAGTCTCAAAAACAAGGTTGAGTGGAAAAAAGGATAGAATAGGATTATTTAAAATTTTCAGTGATACTGGACAGCTGGGTGGCTCAGCGGCTGAACATCTGCCTTTGGCTCAGGATGGGATCCTGCAGTCCTGGGATCGAGTCCTGCAGTCCCTGCATGGAGCCTGCTTCTCCCCCTGCCTGTGTCTCTGCCTTTCTGTGTCTCTCATGAATAAATAAAATCTTTAAAAAAAAAATTTTAAGGGGATCCCTGGGTGGTGCAGCGGTTTGGCGCCTGCCTTTGGCCCAGGGCGCGATCCTGGAGACCTGGGATCGAATCCCACGTTGGGCTCCCGGTGCATGGAGCCTGCTTCTCCCTCTGCCTGTGTCTCTGCCTCTCTCTCTGTGTGTGACTATCATAAATAAATAAAAATTTAAAAAAAAATTTTTTAAGTGATACCATGTACTGTTTAGAGGTATATGCCTATCTGATGAAAGAATATAAACTTGCATGGGAATGATAAACATAAACCATAACATTACTTGGGCAAGGCAGGGGCCTGGGAATAGGAAGTGCATATAGCACTTCAGTATTGTAATGCTTTAGTTATTAAACTGGGTAAGTGGTATACTCAGTTAAATAATAATACAACTGTCTATTTCTATTTTTTGTACATCCAAAGTATCTTGTTCAACAACTAAACAATAAAATCGGCTCATCTTTTAAAATGAGGAGATGGGAGGTTCTCAAGAACTGACCCTGTGCCAAACTTCAAATCCGGGCTGCACTCCTTTTACATTACCATGATGCTTTTAATTAACAAACACTCCCACATTTGGTTTCCACAAAGACTGAATCAAACTGTATCCCCAAGTGTTTGCTGTGGGACGTGATGCATGCTGAAAAACACAGGTTCTGACCTCTAATAACTATATAGAGTTCAAAACAAACTACCTAAACACAGTTGCTTTGCCCTTTTTTTTTCTTGGTCCCAGATAAAATATGGCCATTAAAAGTGGCCCATTATTCAAGAGAAAAAAAACAATACTCAAACACTCGAAAACAGACCTAAATGTGAGTTTAAGAAGCCTCAGAAGAGTCTCTTTAGTTCATCTTCCTGGTTTTCCAGTGGTGGTGAAGTGGAGCTGGGGGGTGGAGGAAGGAGAACGGGGGAATTTGTCAAGGTAGCATGCTGCCCCGCCAATAGCAAAGGCTTGAAAAAAACCATGTTGGAGGAGGCAAGCAGGCTCATTGTAATATGCTCTCTTTGCCGCCCAGCACGTTGCCTGCCTGACCCAGACCTGTTTGAGCCATCTTCCCTCTCTGTTCTGTTCTCTCCATTCCTCTTCCCTGCTGCTTACACCTGGTTGTGCCCCTGTTCTGCCCCAAATCTCTTAGAAATACATTAGTGACAGAGAGATCGTAGTAAAGGGCATGGGTTTGTGTCAGAAAAACCTGAGTTCAAATCCTGCCTGTGCCACTGATAAAGAGCTCATTAACTTGAGACACATCCAACAGAATGTGGTAGGATGATGGAAATAACTATATCTACACTGTCTAACACGGTTGTTCCCAGCCCCGGGTGACTATTGAGCACTTGAAATGTGGCTAGTGAGATAGAGGAATGTTTTAATTGTACTTATTTTTAATTAGTTTAACTTAAAAAGCCACATGACTAATGGCTCCCATATTGGACAGAGCAAGTCTAGAAAATGTAGGACCCCTCCTCTCACAGAGGATCACCATGTATAATGGACATGGGACACCCTGATAAAAGGCTCTACTAGTAAGCTATATCCTTCCCTGAAAGACCATCAGAGTACTGAATGCACAATCTCAGACACTTACTGACTGTACTGACCAGGTCTTCTCAGTGAGTATGCCAGGGTGGGCCTGCTTCATGCTGCTTGCTACCTCCTGACACCAGATCCAACTCTGACTTTTTCAACGATGAGGATACAACCAAGGCAGTCTGGTATAAAGAAGTTTGCCTCTTCCTCGTGTTTTTTTGTCCTCACTGTGCTGATTAAACAAAATGACTACATTTTCAGAAACCCATTTTTAATTAAATTCTTATGGGACACTATTTGGCATTTCTTTGATATTAAGTTTCCAGACAGAAAATATTTTTCATTTTCTCCAGTTAAACGAATCATATCATTATGTACCAATTGCTTTAAAGAGACAATCTACCTGCATAGGTTAAATATATATGAAGACAGAGGTGCCTGGGTGGCACAATAGGTTAAGCATCTGACTTGATTTCCACTCAGCTCATGATCTCTCAGAATCACAAGACTGAGCCTCACATTGGGCTCTGCACTCAGCACAGATTCTGCTTGAGAATCTCTCTCTCCCTCTGCCCTGCCCCGGTTCATGTGCTCTCTCTGTCTCTCTAAAATTAAAAAAAAAAATTAATATATGAAGATATCCATTTTTAGAAACATAAATCAAGCAGCACCAATTTTATTTTATAGTATTTATTATAGTAAAAGTTCCTCTTGTAAAACATTGGTGATTTTGGTCCATATCTTTTTTCCATTTGGCTTTAAAACATTTTACATTATTTATAAAATAAATCGCAATTTTTAAGATTGTACATATTTCTTTTTTTTTTTGACTCTTGAAATATTACAGTTTCAAGTATCTAAAAAATAAACACCTGGCAGACTAAGTGTACTGAAAAGTACATATTGAACATATTTAATTACCACAGTAATTTAAAAGTCTTCACCTTTTACTTGTTAAGATTAAAATTCACTAACATGAAGTCATTCAAGGATCTCTGGAATTTCTCTATTATCCACAATGAGACTATGGATAATCCCTTCTTTCCGCTTCCCACTACTGACAGCCTTTATGTAACAGTCATGGTTCCCAACACTGAAGTGAGTTTCAGTCCCGTCCTCTACAAACTCACCCTAGGCCAACAAAAGAAGGAGGAGTTAGTATTCCAGAAACATTTATCTTTGTCTAGAGCATTAACACCATCTAAAAAGGGTGGCATGGACTGAACATTTCTCTTATGGGCTGAACATTTATTTGTACCTGCTTACAATCTTGAACAATGTTAAGCTTCAGAGGGAAAAGACCCCTTATACCTTGTGGCTGTGTGTCTATAACATGCACTATTTAAACAACATTGACTATTTTTACAAGTAAAAATGATAAGCATGATATCAAGCATTTAGTTTATGCCAAGTTACTCTATACTAAGAACAGTCTGCACGCATTACTTCATTGCACCATCACCATAGCCCTGACAGAAGCACTATTAGTGTCCTCACTGTATAGATGGGGAATCAAGGCACAGAGTGGTGAAATAACTGCTGGAGGACCCAGTCAGGAAGGGATAGAATGCTCTTACCCACTCCAAAAATCTGATTCCGCAGAATGTAAGGCGGCTTACAGTAAAATGCACAGATAACATAAAACCAAGCACTACCCAATCTCACCCCATTCTGTTCCACACAGTAGCTATTGGCCACATGTGGCAGTTGAGCACTTGAAATGTGGTGAGTCCCATGTGCTGTTTGAGTGTAAAATCTACACGGAGTTTGGAAGACTTAGAATGAAACAGAATGTACAATACCTCTAAAAACTTCTATTGATGTTGAATTATAATATTTTGGATATACTGATTTAAATCAAATATACTATTAAAACGAGCTTCACCTTAAAACTTTTAAACTGTGGTATTAGAGAAGTCTCACATGAATAAAAGAAAAGCTACACATGGAACTCCTACCTGTGGCTCATATTTTTACTGAATAGTACTAATCTAGATTAGAAAGACAGGGGCCAAGTGGCATAGAGAAGAACAGGAGGCTTCAAGGATGAAAGTGGAGCATGGTAGAAAGCAAAGAAACCACAATCAGACTTAAAATTTGGCTATGAGCTTCCTAGCAGCCAAAGCAGACAAAGAGAGGTCCCAGAGCTAACATCATCCAACCTAAGAAGGCAAAGGACACCTGGGGGAGTTTTTTCTGAGCTGTGGGGAGAATCTGGCCAGTACTGACACCACCACAGGGACCCTGTGGGGGCACAATCAGACACATACATAAATCTTGGTCATGATGCTTTGAGATGGAAAAAAAAAAGGAGAAAATCAACTGTCACTCACAGGCAGCAAGGGTGGGTGTGCACATACTGGGGATCACTGCCCAGATACAGAGCTGCAGCAATTGCAGTTACAGTGAAGAGACAACTGGGTAGTAAAGAGCTACCGTCCAAATACTTGCAGTTCCCTGCTAATTACTGAGGACCAAAGACATTGTGGATGAACATTCCTTTCAACTTCTTACTTATTTATAACTACATTCTTAATACCACAGAACAACTTTCTCTCTATATTGCTTTAGAGAATTCCTTGAGGGTGGAAGGGAAGAGGATCCAAAACTGCCCATTGGCACTTAGAGGGTGCCAAGGTTGGAAGGAAAGAACAGGAAGGACCAGTAAGGGCCTGATCCATGTTAATGGTAACTGAAGCTATTCCACAGGGGCCAAAAAACACTGAACAGCTCTCCAAGCCTCTCTGCATAAAAGAAGTCTCCGTCAGTAGATTTATCCTGGAGAGTGAATGGCTCAAGCTCTGAGGATGAATTCTGAGTGAGCCCTGATTACATAACCCTTCAAGAATTCACACCAGGATTAAGAAAGAGAGAAGCATCTATATTTGTAACTTTTCAGGCATTGGTACTTCCTCAGAAGCAGAGAGCCACAAGACCCAGGAGGTCCTTGGTAGCCTGCCGAATAAACTCATCCCAGGCCTCCTGCTCTCCGAGTACCTCTCCTCATCTTCCTATACCTACAACAGGTGAAGGAGACCAGGGCAGCACCTCCCAAGGAGACTAGGGAAGCACCTCCCATGGGCAACTAGCTAAAACGTGACTAGAGCAGAGTAGGTCTCATTATCTCCAGCCTGGTGTTCATGTTGGAAGCCAGCATGAAAGGCAGGGACCAGGCATAGTACCCCCTCCTTGCCAGCAGACCCCACAGCCCTGAGGAATTTCCACCCAGGGACTGTAGCTCCCAGTCTCACACTCTGCGCTTCCCACAATGGTCTCCTCTGCTTCCACTTGCTCCCCGAGCCACGCACACCACTATGCTTTCATTCTTGCTGAAATCACTTAAATATTCATCCCGCCCGCAGCCATAACAATGCAAGCAGCCAGCAGCAAAGGCTGAACACTCTGGGGTTTGATAGGGATGTGATCACACTTGGCCACGATAGTAGGGTAGCCGCTTGCCACTGCTGGTCTACAAACTTCACTTAATCTTCTGTGGTTTGTGACAGTGCCCTTTCCTATCTGCCTTCGTGTCACCTGACTTGTATGCATTGCTTCTTTTTCAAAAACCTCACTTTTAGAAAAGTCCTATCTGCTTTGAGAGTATGCTGTAAAGTCTTATTCAAGTGTGACTCGTGGGCTGACAAGCAGCATTGGCATCACCAGGGGAAATGTTAGAATTTGCATCTTAGCAAGATCCCAGGTGATTCCTACACAAGCAGGTTTGAGAAGCTGTGATATGAAGCCCAATTTAACTTGGACAGGACCTCCTGTGGGGCCAGTTTTTGATGTGTGAATTCTTTTTAGGACAGAGCCTGGTCCAGGAGAGGAAAGGGAGAGTGTGAGGCTGGGGCCAGCTCTCAACATAAGGCATTTCCAAGCCCTCCCTGCCCCAGGCGCTGTCCAGGAGAGGTGTTCAGAATTTGGAGTCAGGAGTACTTCATCTCTTTCTTGTCCTTAACCGAGAGGACACTGCTTAATTATCAATCTTCACCATTAGGAAATGCAACATTTCAGTGGCAACCTTATACATGGCGCTAAGAGTAAGTAAAGGGTCAACTTACTGCTGTCTCCATTCTTTTACCATTGCACCATACATCCATAGTGTCCTTTTCTGTAAAAGTAACAAATCAAAAAAAAATTATAATCTATGACTCAAAGATAAAGTTAACTCTTTATTATTTTAATAAAAGCTTGATATACTGGATTTCTAAAACTCCATTAACTTTTCATGGCTTTCAAATTCTTCTAAATTTGAAGAAACCATTTAACTTGGTTCACAAACAAAATAAAAGTGAGATAAAACAATCTTTCAAGAGATAATCATGGCTCTAGTACAAATGGATGAAGCCCTGTTGAACAAAATAAACACTGCAACACAAACTTCAGTATTTAGGATGCACAGAAGTGAATGCAAGGAGGGACCTGGCTACACAGACTGTCATCTGTGACCAGAGACTTTCTTGCACAAAGGCCCCTACCTTTCTTGCACAAAGGCCACCAAGAAAGGCTGTGACAGGGCCAATGTCAGATGAACAGCATTCAGGCTTAGAAATTTAACCTGAAATTTCCTACTGGATAGCACAATAATCTCTATTCATTTTTGTAATGTTTTCATTTTGGGGAAAAACTATGGATCGTAAGAAAAAACACAGGTATACCTGGTGGACTGTGCTGACAGTATGGTGCAAAATGCTGCCACAATACAGCTGGGCATCAGTTAAGCTGCTGAGGCTTACCTTGGAGGGCATGTACATGTGTGCATGTGTGCACAAACACGTGTGCATTTTGGGGGAGGATCCCAGAACCACTTGTGACTGTTAGTATCCTGGTGGGGGGTGGTAGAGAAGACTGCACTAATCAAGGAGCCAGAAGATGAGCCTAGAATCATGACCTGTGTGCACGTGAGAAGCCCAGGAGTCAAAAAACTTGCCTCTGTGTCAAGGCTGAGGGCCAGTGAGGGGCTTGATTCTAACAGGCCATCTACTCCAGGAACACAGTCTAACAGGGGCTCTTTTCTCCCCATAGCTTGAGATGGGAGCCTCAGAGAATAGAGGCCTTTGACCTGGGCTAAAGGAGAAACAGGCAGAGGGGCCCAGGAGATGTAGGCAGTGGTTGCTCCAGTGGCAGCCTGAGCGGAAGCATCAACAGCCATGGTTACTGGGAGACCTAACTTGTCTCAACACCTGATCAGAGCATACCGTGCTAAAATAAACCATGATGCCGGTGAAAATTGGAATTTCATGTAGTATGCCTACTGAACATGTGCATGTACTCAGATATTCTATAGGCTATTATGAATGTGCCTCTGAAGAAACCTACTAATCCAGAAAAGAAAAATGGAATAAATGTGACTACATCAAAGTAAAGAATATTTCTTTTGAGGGAGCCCAGGAGTACATGTTTTAAAGAAAAAAGTGTACACACATAAGCAAAGTCAGACTGGGAAGAAATACGCGAAGCTCAGAGCACAGACAAAAGTCACTCTTACTGGCAGAAAGACTCTGAGCAATCAACGAGAGAAAGACCAAAACCCAAAAGACAGTAGGTCAGAGGACACATAGATCAGAAGAGAAAAACAAAGGACATCAAATATGAAAAGATGCTCAACCTCAATTAATTTTGAAAGCAAATAAAAACACTGAAATACCACTTCTCATGTAGCAGAATATTTTTTAAAAATTTTAAGATCTGACAACATGCTCAGCTGGGGAACCTGAGGGGAAATGGGTACCGGGAGCGCACAGCAGTAAAAGCACCATAGGGGCAATGGGGCCCGATGGCTCAAGTGACAAGCGCAGTTCTGTTGGACCCAGCAATCCTACTTTCCCGCTTCTGGGATTTTATGCAAAGGAGATATGTCAACTACATTCCAAGAGGCATATAAACAAAGCCATTCATCCAACACTACTTCCAACAGCAAAGGATAAAGGATTAGAAATAGCCCAAGTGCCCAATTGTCAGGAGTGAGTTAAACTATTTTATTTACTATTGAGACCGACTCTGCAGCTATAAAAAAAAGTATGAGAAAGCTCTTCGTGTATGGTTAGGAGAGAATCCTCAGAATATATGAATAAGTCAAGAAGACAAGATGCTTTTATGAAATAAGATAGTATGAAATTTTCATATTTGCTTGAATCTAAATAAACAGGAAAGACTCACTATTAAAGAGCTTATTTTTATCAGGGAAACAGGGTGGGTGGGAATAGGGGTGGAAGCATGTATCTTTTCATATCATTTTAATATCTGAATCATATGGGTAGAGCACCTATTCCAGTATGTATATTAACAAAAGAACACATCTGATAAAAGTATTACATCATTATGGCTCAGAAGTGGATTCAGTGAGTTACAGGAGGCCTTGGAGCATGTGTACCTTGGAGCCTCTTCTGCCTGCCTGCCTGCCTGGACCTTCCCTAAAAATAATGAATGAGCATCTTAACGTATGCCCAGATTACACTCTTGAAATACCATTTTCCTCTTGAGAAACTGGGGTTTCTTTTTTTTTTTTTAATAAATTAATTTTTATTGGTGTTCGATTTACCAACATACAGAATAACACCCAGTGCTCATCCCGTCAAGTGTCTCCTTCAGTGCCCGTCACCCATTCACCCCCACCCCCGCCCTCTTCCCCTTCCACCACCCCTAGTTCATTTCCCAGAGTTAGGAGTCTTTATGTTCTGTCTCCCTTTCTGATATTTCCCACACATTTCTTCTCCCTTCCCTTATATTCCCTTTCACTATTATTCATATTCCCCAAATGAATGAGAACATACACTGTTTGTCCTTCTCCGATTGACTTACTTCACTCAGCATAATACCCTCCAGTTCCATCCACGTTGAAGCAAATGGTGGGTATTTGTCGTTTCTAATGGCTGAGTAATATTCCATTGTATACATAAACCACATCTTCTTTATCCATTCATCTTTCGATGGGCACCGAGGCTCCTTCCACAGTTTGGCTATTGTGGACATGGCTGCTAGGAACATCGGGGTGCAGGTGTCCCGGCGTTTCATTGCATCTGAATCTTTGGGGTAAATCCCTAACAGTGCAATTGCTGGGTCGTAGGGCAGGTCTATTTTTAACTCTTTGGGGAACCTCCACACAGTTTTCCAGAGTGGCTGCACCAGTTCACATTCCCACCAACAGTGTAAGAGGGTTCCCTTTTCTCCGCACCCTCTCCAACATTTGTTGTTTTCTGCCTTGTTAATTTTCCCCATTCTCACTGGTGTGAGGTGGTATCTCATTGTGGTTTTGATCTGTATTTCCCTGATGGCAAGTGATGCAGAGCATTTTCTCATGGGCATGTTGGCCATGTCTATGTCTTCCTCTGTGAGATTTCTGTTCATGTCTTTTGCCCATTTCATGATTGGATTGTTTGTTTCTTTGCTGTTGAGTTTAATAAGTTCTTTATAGATTTTGGAAACTAGCCCTTTATCTGATATGTTATTTGCAAATATCTTCTCCCATTCTGTAGGTTGTCTTTGAGTTCTGTTGACTGTATCCTTTGCTGTGCAAAAGCTTCATATCTTGATGAAGTCCCAATAGTTCATTCTTGCTTTTGTTTCTTTTGCTTTTGTGGATGTATCTTGCAAGAAGTTACTGTGGCCAAGTTCAAAAAGCGTGTTGCCTGTGTTCTCCTCTAGGATTTTGATGGAATCTTGTCTCACATTTAGATCTTTCATCCATTTTGAGTTTATCTTTGTGTATGGTGAAAGAGAGTGGTCTAGTTTCATTCCTCTCCATGTGGATGTCCAATTTTCCCAGCACCATTTATTGAAGAGACTGTCTTTCTTCCAGTGGATCGTCTTTCCTCCTTTATCGAATATTAGTTGACCATAAAGTTGAGGGTCCACTTCTGGGTTCTCTATTCTGTTCCATTGATCTATGTGTCTGTTTTTGTGCCAGTACCACACTGTCTTGATGACCACAGCTTTGTAGTACAACCTGATATCTGGCATTGTGATGCCCCACAGCTATGGTTTTCTTTTTTAAAATTCCCCTGGCTATTCGGGGTCTTTTCTGATTCCACACAAATCTTAAAATAATTTGTTCTGACTCTCTGAAGAAAGTCCATGGTATTTTGATAGGGATTGCATTAAACGTGTAAATTGCCCTGGGTAACATTGACATTTTCACAATATTAATTCTGCCAATCCATGAGCATGGAATATTTTTCCATCTCTTTGTGTCTTCCTCAATTTCTTTCAGAAGTGTTCTATAGTTTTTAGGGTATAGATCCTTTACCTCTTTGGTTAGGTTTATTCCTAGGTATCTTATGCTTTTGGGTGCAATTGTAAATGGGATTGACTCCTTAATTTCTCTTTCTTCAGTCTCATTGTTAGTGTATAGAAATGCCATTGATTTCTGGGCATTAATTTTGTATCCTGCCATGCTACCAAATTGCTGTATGAGTTCTAGCAATCTTGGGGTGGAGGCTTTTGGGTTTTCTTTCTTTTTTTTTTTTTTTTTTTAAGATTTTATTTATTTATTCACGAGAGATAGAGAGAGAGAGGCAGAGACACAGGCAGAGGGAGAAGCAGGCTCCATGCACCGGGAGCCCGACGTGGGATTCGATCCCGGGTCTCCAGGATCGCGCCCTGGGCCAAAGGCAGGCGCCAAACCGCTGCGCCACCCAGGGATCCCGCTTTTGGGTTTTCTATGTAGAGTAACATGTCATCGGCAAAGAGGGAGAGTTTGACTTCTTCTTTGCCAATTTGAATGCCTTAATGTCTTTTTGTTGTCTGATTGCTGAGGCTAGGACTTCCAATACTATGTTGAATAGCAGTGGTGAGAGTGGACATCTCTGTCTGGTTCCTGATCTTAGGGGAAAGGCTCCCAGTGCTTCCCCATTGAGAATGATATTTGCTGTGGGCTTTTCGTAGATGGCTTCTAAGATGTCGAGGAAAGTTCCCTCTATCCCTACACTCTGAAGAGTTTTGATCAGGAATGGATGCTGTATTTTGTCAAATGCTTTCTCTGCATCTAATGAGAGGATCCTATGGTTCTTGGTTTTTCTCTTGCTGATATGATGAATCACATTGATTGTTTTACGAGTGTTGAACCAGCCTTGTGTCCCGGGGATAAATCCTACTTGGTCATGGTGAATAATT